GTAGCAAAGGCATGGCACATTTGGGCCTACAGCACAGAAGGCTACAACCAAATAAAGCTCGCCATACTACAGCAGGGCCTGGCAGACAGCTTAGGGTGTTGGGGGGGACTGTTGGGGCACCATCCTGCCTGCTGACCTGCACACGAGGAAGCCTCACCATCCCTCCCACCTGCTATGCACAAAAACACATCCTCCCCAATCTCCCTCTTGCCCCGGAGAAAACAGAGCTGTTCCCCCTCTTGCCTATGCCGGATCCATACAAGTGACATGACTCGAAGCCTTGTGTCAGCGGGCACAAGGCAGACTGCTCCCAGCCTCTTCCCAGGGGCTGTAATTGGGCACAAGGCTGATTTGGAGTCCCAGCGCCAGGCCGGGCCCCATGGCCACTAGAGGTAGCTCTGCCCACACAAACACACCCAGAGGAGCCCTAATGCAACCTTTACAGGTGCCGCCAATTCCCCCTGCTGCACCCATTGCCGGCAGAGGCTACCCCTTTGCCCCATCCCCAGCCTAGCACCTACAGAAGCAGCCACAAAAGCCTTGCTGAGGAAGAAGAGGAGCTTTCCAGGGCCTGAGAGTGTGCAGTGATGAGATCCTTTGAGGCCCTCCTGGCCTTTTCCCCCTCAAACCCTGGGGCTGTTGGGGCATTTGGAGCCTTCTCAGCACCCTCCAGGGATCATAAATGGTACAGGGGTTACAGGATCGGGCCCAGAGCATCACTTCATGCCGTTGCTGCCTGTAGGCACCTCTCTGCAGGGGAACGTGGACTGGGGACACAGCACTGCACCTAGAAACAGGCTGCAGCATCAGGCCCCTGCAAGCCCCACTGCAGAGAGCTTCCAAGGGGGCCAGGCCAGTCCTCTGTGCCAAGCCCGCCCTTTTACGGGCAGGCCAGCCAGCACTCATCCTGTAGCCCAGGGAAGTCCCCGCACCTCGCTGCGCACACAGCAGCCGTATGAGCCCCTTGCTCAGGGCACACCTGGCAGGCAACACCCCCCTGGCTGTTCAGGCACCCGCAAACCACCCAGGGGGTGTTCTGGCATCAAAGGGTGGCACGGGTGCTCCCCGGCATCTCGGCAGCTGCCCCAAAAGGGAAGGCTCTGCGCAGGCT